TAATAGATTAGTAGTGTATGTATTATTTTTTTATTAGGCTTTTATTTTTGAGTGTAGATATAGTACTTGAACGAGAAATGTTTTAATGTGTTGAAGTAATATTTACGTGGCAATGTGTGGTATGTGCAAATTTAAAAAAAATATATTTTTTTCTTAACGGGTCATAACGGGTCGGGTCACTTTACCCGTTGGGTAAAGTGACACGACCTGTTAAGGACCCGTTAAGATAACGGGTATGACATGACACGACCCGTTAAGATAACAGGTGTTACACGAAAACGACACGAACACGATAGACACGACCTGTTTGCCAGGCCTACTTAACTTTAACTTTAGTTAACTGTCATTAAATGTTCCTTTTTCAATTTTGAGAAATTTAACCAAGGTCAAGTGAAAGGATATGTGGCAGATGATTAAGTGTACGGTGAGCGTACACCATAGTTTATGGTGCAATGCTAAGGTGACCGAATTTGTAGATTAAATTTTGTAAACTAAATGACATAGAAGTTGATTATTGAATTATTACTTAAGTGTTAATTAACATACTTATTTCTTATTCGTGACACTTCATTTAGTTTGCAAATTTTTCTATAAATTTAGTATACCTAACATTACTCTTATGACGGTGTGTAAAAATGCTTCCAAATAGAAAAGGAGAGAGAGTCAAAAGTAGGACACTACTTTTAATGGCAGATTACCCGCTTCTTTGTTTTTTAAGATTCAACAAGTTTCTCAACCATTCGATCTCTAACTTTTAACCTCAGCCGCTCAACACCCGTAGCATTTTATTTTATATAACATTGAAGAATTTTTCCTTAAAATTGTATTATATAATTCGTTTTTACCCAAAGAAAAATAAGAATATGTGTTTAGAATTTGAGTCAAGCGATCGATATGATATATATATTTCAAGATTAAAAGGGATGGATTAAATTACAAATCTAGTCATTGTCTATGATTATGGTTGTCTTTATTACAAAACTCGTCAATAATGCTACATCAGGATTAACAAGTAGTGACCAACATAATTACTTTTGGTACTACAATGGAGGACAAATTATCAAACTTTACTTTCTTTGTACAAAAATATTACTCTTATCATCTATTTGTACCATAATGTGTATCATCTTTCTATTAAAGATGTGATCCATATGCGTTCTCAGTCCTACCTCTAATAGAAAGATGATACAAAAGATGGTATAAGTAGATGATAAATGTAGCATTACTCTTTTTTAGATCATCTTCATCCCTAGCCTATAAAACCTAAGATCTTTCAGTTAAGCCGGACGATGAGAAGAGAGAAGCTCATAGGTCGGCTCAATTAAGCTATTGTCATCGCGGAAAGACTCGAGTTGAGCTCGTTCCCTTAGTTGATTAGCCAAAAGTAGGACGAGAGCATTCCATCGTCCGTCTCGGCTTGACTAAACCGAGCTGACCTCACTCTTCAACCCTCCCATTCTTCGTACAAAGGCACCTACGAGTAAGGGACTTCCAAGTAAATTGCATACACACTCCTCAGATAATCAAAATACAAACACATAGAAAAGTAGCAGATGTAAGTTGTAACCAGTTATGTTTTGCGTGTGAGGGGAAAGTGTTATATTTTGGTTGATTCTAATGTATGAGGTCTTTATATAGACTATAAATTATAAATGTTGCAAAGTCTTGCATATGGCCGATTTGGCGCTGTTTTCCTAACTACTGTGATCAAGTGATCGAGGCTATATAAACGTCAAGAGTAGTTTTTTATTCTTCATCTTCTTCCTAAGTTTATGTGATTTTCTTAGCTTTTCCTTCATCGGGTGCTTGATCTGGAGGGCTGCTCTGGTTGCAGGTTTTGCAGTGGATGATGAAAATGCAGCAGTAGCCATCAATGATTTCTTCTGTGCAGGAACACTAGACTTGACCAAAATTTATAGGATCAAGGAAAACTAAAACTTTATGAGGTTTTTGTTATTAACACTCATCATGTACCTTTTTTCTTTTTTTTTTTCACTAAAAAATAATGTAGAGTAATATTTTTAGAGTGTAAATAATATATTTGGCTTCAATACTTACATGCATTTAATACATTTATCATCTTGACAATCGAATGATGATTGTATTAAATCCACATATTCACATGAATCATAACTGATTGTCTGATGATAATTATGTTAAATACATGTAAATATTGTATCTAATTCCGTAAATTAAAATTTTTTGAATACGTTGTAGCTCGAGTACTTTGGTTTGAATACTCTTGTGCTAATTACTTTTTGACTGGCCTATATCCGCCATGGAGTTAAAATGCGTTTGATTCCATGAATGCCTGAATGCTGAAAACAGACCTCCACTCGGGTGATAATTTTGTGAACACAAAGATGAGCTTTAATATCTGATTAATTCTCTAGCATGCACGCGTCAATTTTAAGTTGAAAACGAGTGATTTGTGGGATTTGCTTTTGAGAAAGTAGTGGTGCTGTGGTGCACCATCATCATTGTGTATGTTGTTGAATTGACTTTATATTCGAGCTATATAGTTATGGTGGACTGGTGTGGATACCATTCATGTCATTCACAGTTAACGGTTTTCATTCGTTTATTTGTATGATTGGACTTTCATCTCTGTCTTTTTGCTGATTTTTCCTTCCACTTTTTTTATCATGGATCGATATCGTGGCAAACAGAATTAGACCGGACTCCACTTTGGACCATTTCTGAGGCTTTGTATTTGGGATGAAAATTTAATTCGTCAAATTCAATCAATGCAAGTAATTGACCCGAACTGTTCGATTTTCAAGACCAAATTTCAAGTTCTTTTTTGTTATGAGTAACCGTCTAATAAACTGTCTAGTTTCAAATTCAATTACGGTTGTTGGAGTATCATCCCTAAACCTGTACCTATAACCAACCCGTTTTCATTCTTTATATAAATATTTATTCTATGCTTATATTTTTTTGAGCGTGCAAACTTCAAAGGTCTGCAACAACTTTATTCTAAAAATTTCAATACTTTCAATTAATGATGGAATGTGGTAGAGCTCAAGGGCCATGACAGATGATTCAATACTTCAATTTTGGGAGGAAAATCCTATTCATTTTGTCATACAAACTGATAGCAGCAACAACCATTTGCTTAGTTTTCATAAGAAAGGAATATTATAATAGGGAAAACTCTTATCTAATGGGGAATTCATTACACGACTTGTTTGGTTACGGGAAATTCCCGTTAGAGGATTCTACAGTTTCAGGTTTGAAAAAAAAAAGGGGGTTCAGTTATAGGAATGACATATCCGAACCCAATCCGCCTGTCGGCATCCCTACTTTGTATTGATCATGAGACTAAGAGCACTCTTTTCATTGAATGCATTTTTGCTCACTCCCTAAAGTTGGGATGATGTTCACCACCTTATTGGTTAACGTTAGATTGCATGTCCTTCTTGAATACCTCGATTCAACGTCAAAGAATTTCCAACTGCTACCATACATTATTCATCTTGATTTAATTAATCTAAGACATGAATCTCAAATTAAAACTAATCTAACGGCACCCACTATTATGGTGAGCGTCACACCACTTTTGGAATAACTTTCCTTAGAAAGTAATTAGCTGAAAAGCTACCTTTCCTTTCCCAAGAGAAATTGTTGAGAACAAAAAGGGGTTATTTCTCAACAAATACCACTAGAAAATCTAAATTGAACGGGCCCAACCCTAAAAGCCTGAAAGTTGAGCAGATGAACCAAGAAAGATCAAAGCCCAACAATTTATTAGATCCGCAAAAAAGGAAAAAAGGAAAAAACCACAAAAGTTTAAAATTCTCTCACACCCGAAACAAATTACTAATCTTCCAGTAAAATTCAAATGACTGTCAAATAGTAATTGCATTAAATACATATAAGTATTATTACCAAATCTATAAAATTCCCCTCCTTAACTTCTATGGACACCCAAAACTTATATCCCCCTGACAATAGTACCCATCTCCAATATTTTTCTTTCAAGGGTTTCCAGACTATTTTACAAGGCCGTTCTGAAGAAATGCAGGTGGTGTCATCGCACATAACTCTCAATATGTTCATGTGAATATATGTAAATCTTTAATTAAAGCTTCATTGCAAATAAAGTCATGTGTATGAGAAGAGAAGCTGCATAGCAATTGATACTTTGAGCTCATTCAGCTCTAGATGCTGCATAGCAATTGATATGATACAGATAATAGTAAAGGTCATGTGTATGAGAAGAGAAGCTTGCCTCGTGCATCTGCTGCAAAGTAAGCAGCATTTCATTCTACTTTCTGCATCAGTACCTTGTATGATATCATTTGAAAATCGAAAATCGAAATGACTTGCCTCGTTCATAAACACAAGATGACTTGCCTCGTTTGAAAATCGAAACACTTCCCTAAATTTGGTGACCAATTCTTGATAAACTTGCTTCCCATCCATAACAAAGCAAAGAGTGGCCGCAAGCTTAGGAAAATCTGAGTTTCTTTCTTTAGTATCAACTGAATAACAAAGGATTTTCTGCTGTGCATCTGCCTAAAAAATCATTCCTACATTTCTCGCATTCATTAGGCTTCGTCAAAAAAGCAAGGTATCCGTTCTAAATATGAACAATCAAAATTAGAAACACTAATCCCATTCAAAACTGAAGTAAAAAGCGGAGAAACGAGAAGACAAAAATGAAGCATCGAAACCCTAAATCAAACTCAAACTTGAAAACCATACGAATTTGAACATAAAAGCAGCTATAGAATCGTACTTTCTGAACACCCATTTAAAGTTGCCAAACAAGCTAAATTTGAACATCAAAGCAGCTGTAGGATACAACCATTTGGTCTCATACAACATAGACTATGAGATGATTGTTGAAGAGAGTTGCAATCAGTGGTATCGTGAACACTGAGTATGCATAGCTCCCAATCTCAAGCTTCATTGCCTAATGTCCAATAGCTAGGACTGTAGACTCGTGCGACTGCTGGGGTTATGAACTATAGTGTGACAATTTAACAGAAGCATTTACGGAAAAAAGAAGAATTTAATCAGCGCTTCAAATAGAAAATGTTGCAAGTATGCAACTGCCAACACAAATGTAGTCTACACTAGAGGGAGAGTTGCTGAAATCGAAAGGTACAAATTTGAATGAATAAGTAAAAACGCTTAACTACACCTACATTGATGCTGCAGCTGCAGCACCTGGAAGTGTGGGAAGCCCTTTGGCTTTGATGGCAGCGAGACTTCCACGCCCAATTCCACCGCTGCACTGGTGCCTATTCAATCTCCTTCTTGCAGCCTCATCCATACCAATACTCACTGGAGTTTTGTGATCCTCCTCTTTGGTGTTGGATCTTGAAGTCCAGCAATCAGTGGAGTCGGCTGAATTGGGTTCCCATGAAGAAGAAGAGAAGCCCCAATTATGTTGTTGCGAGTGAGAACTACCACTGAGAAAGCTGTTGCTGCCAGAAGACTCTTGGTCCTCCATATCTTCCAATGCACCAGTACCCCTTCTCACAGTCACATACTTGTGGAAGCTTGGCTCCATCAGATCATCATTGGCAACTACCTCAGACTCAACAAAAGGATCTTTTCGCTCATCTGCTAGACAGCCTATGCTCTTCCCAGCAAGTGAAGCATTATAGCCAGAAGCAAATTTTTTGTTCCTTTGATCTGTTGGAGTGCTTTTCGTAGCAGAGTTGAGGTCGGCAACTGCTTCTACAATGGAGCAGGCCTTAGATACGCATGAAGGGAGTGATACTGCACTCGGCGTGTTCTGCTGGTGGAAATTCTGTATGTCTTTGAGCAATAGTGAAGTATACAAAGATTGCCCAGGATTCAAAAGGGTGTCGGTTTCAGGATCAATGTCTAGGTCTCTGGATCGCCTAGAGGACCTGCTTCTTGTTAATGTTTGGGGTTTCCCTTGTGGTTGTCCCTTGGCCTCCTCCACTAGAACCGTGTTCTTGTTGTCCATTGTACTATTGCTGGTTATGTAGTTGATACCTTGGGCAACAATTCTGTTACAGTTGATTTCGAGAGTCGGTTTCTGCAAGATGATTAATCAAGCTAAATTTCAGAAGAACAAGTTCATTGTACAATTTGGTTTTCGGCTTAAAAATGCAAACTTTTAAGGTAACTAATAGCATAGTCTTCCTCTCAGAGAGAAAAATAATAATCGTAGAGGTTTACAAATTCAAGCAATATTCCATTCAATCTAATCTAAACTACGGAGAGGGTATTCAAAAGTTCAAACTTGGGAATAACTATCGAGGAAATGACAAGAAGATAAGCTACCTGATTTGAAAGATTGGTGGGTTCCTTGACAACAATCTCCTCTTCACCCTTGATTTCTCTTTTGTTTCGGCTGTTGTTATTCGCTTGTGGGTAGGCAAGGGAGTTAGGATCGATCTCAGCCAATGGGTTCCTTCTGTAGGGGGATTGCTCCGCTTTTCTTGAGGAGCTCCGGCTTAGAGAAGGCTGCTGCTGACCGTCATTGGGACCTCTACCATTCAATATAGCTGGAGACTGAGCTCTAGCTGGGGACTGAGCACGGGGGGATCCAACATTTCTCTTCACTGAAATTCGCTTGATGGTAGTTGCAGATTCCCCATTGTTAATGGCAGCTGGAGGGACTGAAACCATCTTTCCTGGCCTAGGATTCGCATTGGCAGTTGCTGTTGCACCAGAATTAGCATTAGAAGATGAGCGTTTGCCCGGTGAAAGACTAGTTCGTCTCTCCCTGCTGCTCGATCGCTGCTGCTGATTTCTTTCTCTGCTGGGTGTCCTCCTCCTCCTCCCTTGAGAAGAGGGAGAAGAAGGCCTTGACCTCGAAGAATGGCGGTGAGATTTCTCTTCTGAAACCCTATCACCCTCACCATCAGCATCAGCACCATTACATATATCATTGACATTGGCATGAACATCGCTCGCATCAAAATCATAGCTCCTTTTCGAACCAGAGTACTTTCGGGTTCTATTCGCAGACCCGGAAGAATTGCTACGGCTAAGCCTTCCACACTGTATGAGAATGGCGTCCAATTCCTCCTTGTTGCAGCTCAACGTCCTCACACGCTTCCCAACCTTGTCAACGTCATCCACGGATTCACTGCAAGCACCGGTCTTGGTGTCAGCAGATATCTGCGGAGGAGAAGCAGCGGAAGCAGCAAAAACAACCGCCGCATCTGACGGAGGTTGTCGCGGCGAATTCGGTTGGATTTGGTTTTGGGGAAGTGGGGTTTTCTTGCAATCTCTGTCCCCTCTTTCGTCGTGGCTCTTTCGGTGTTTGATGACGAATACCTCCTTCTTCACTTGGACTTGGGGTTCTTGATCTTGATTGTCTCCTTCTTGTTGGGCAATTTGTTCTTGTTTTGCTCCTGGCTGCTTCTTCACCTTCATTTTAAGGTCCCCTGCTTCAGTTTCCGATATGGGCTTGCTCTTGATGCTTGAATCAACAACCCCATAACCGTAACCATAACCGGTAGCAGGCGGAGCAGATGGAGGAGGAGGCGGCGGAGCGGGAGAACAAGAGGTGTTCTTCTTGCTAAAACAACTACCCATTGCAGAAATTGATGAATTTGATTTCGAGATGGAAAACCTGAAGTGGGTAATCAAATTACAGAAAAGGAAAGCGAATATCGAGTGATATTATTGACGGTAAGATACGGATTTTGAAGGATTTTGAAGGTTATAGTGCAAGAAGAGATGGTGGCGGTCCTTCGCCCGAGACGGATTTTGAAAAGTGAATGTTTTGTCTCTCTGACTCGTTAGCCGTTGTGGATTTGATTTCAATTAAACTAATTATAAATTTGTTCAACTGAGAGAGAGAGAGAGAGAGAGAGAGAGAATTTGAATGTTCATGTTTTCCTACTCGTCAAAGCGACTGAGGTCCTCACCCTCAACTTCCCTATTTCCCATTTTACCCCTCCCTCACAAAATTATATTTTTTTTCATTTTTAGGTTATACCTTTAAGATTAATTTTACATTTTCTACAAAACAACTGAATCAAACCACATTTTATTCGTTTAATTAGCATTGTCATAATTTTAGTGCTTAACTGAAAAATGTATTTTGCTTATTTATTGTATAACATATAAATGACCAAAACGATCTTTAATACATAACTTAAAACCTAGAAAATTGTAATTATCAATCAAAATATTGCATCATCATAAAATAAAATAAAAACTTTAAAAGCCCAAACAAGAAGATTGTTAGGGTTCTCCGAATTATTGTAGAATTTGTATTTAGTTGAGAACTTAGGGATGTCATGGATTTAGTTGAGAGTTTGTATGATATTTTCCTAGTTTACAAAAAATTCAAGTTTTAGCATATGACATTTTATTGCAATGATAGAAAATAATAATGATTATGTACCTAGTGCACATTTGATCCCCACCAATCTCCCTCATCCCAATATTTAATGTTTAACCCATTAGCGCTATCATTTGTTAAAAAAAAAAAATCGTAATTATTTTTCTCCTTGTTATCCTATTTGCAGAAGGGTAAAAAAGGAAATTAGATTTTTAATAGCCAAAATGTGATATTGCAGCTTCCTTGAATACCAAAACCACGTGATATCGGGCTTGGCGAGTAGAGTGTGGGGAGGCTCAGTCGCGCGATTTGAAATAATGCCAGGCGGGCGGTCGCCCATTTGAAATATGGAGCCGTTTGATGCGAAGAGAGCCGTTGGATGAAACCAGTGACCCCACCACTAACTTCAACTTTCCTACCGCACATCACATAGAATAAGATAATTTATTGGGTTTATTTGTTTTGGGCTAATTACAAGTTTGATCCCAAAACGTTCTTATGTTTTCTCTTGGGTCCTTAAGAATTTTCTCATTCCAATTTTGATCAATGAACTTTTTCTTAGTACATTGATATATTTTTACACTATGAGAGAGGGAAATTTGGCTAAGTCACACAATGGACAACCTAATTTTGTATCAAATTCGTCATCCACGAGATTCGAATCTAAAACCTTTCAAATGAAGAAGAATATCACCAGACCGTAATACTAAGTGACCGATCAATGTTGAAATTGCGATTAGATGGGATTAGCAAGATCAAATAGTGATAAACAAAAAGTGGGCTCCACATTTGAAGTTAACCGATTTCTTGACGGACGGATATAAACATAAGTTCGAAACTTAAAGGTATTAAATTTAAAACTGAAACTAGATGAATTGAAATGCAATATGAGGTCAAATTTGAGGTACTAAATGTAATTCAATGGAAGTTATGTGATATGTTCAGTTATAATGTTGATGTGACTGTTCAACGTAATTAAGTAAACAATTATAGTTAGTTTTAGACTATGTTTATATATGCATGGATGTCACAAAATAATTGTTCAAACATATGATCATGCTTTGAAATTTGAAACGCATCAAAAATGATTTTTATTTATTTAAAGAAGACTTTAAATACGGTTCCTAACTATCATTGTTCTTTGACTGAAACTTTTCTATTTTTTAAAATTTTTATCAAAGTCTTTTGACTTTGTAGTTTGTACACCTCAACATCTCTACTATCTCTACTAATTAATAAAACATTCATCGTCAACCAAAATTCTATGAAATTACCAGTTGAACCCTCTAATTAAAACAGAACATAAATAAAAAATATGGGGTAAAAATGTAATTTCATACAACCAAATTTTGCTGTTTTTTTTTTTCCAAAGCTTGTCCTACATGTAATCCTAACATATCTCTAATTAAAAATAAAAAATAAAAAATAAAAACTTCTCACTCCCACATTCTCTATCACTCTCTTCCTCTCTCCTTCTATTTCAAAAACAAAAATAAAAAATTTTCTCACACACTTTGTGCGTGCCCATATGCTAGTTAATATTAAGGGTTAAACTCTATTTATTACCCTCATGTTTCATGGTTTTCAACATTTGGTACATCAAGTTTTTTTGTCCCAAAGTCATACATAAAGTGTTAATTTTGGGACAGTCTCATACATCCGTTAGTCAAACTATTAAGTCTCTCGTTAAATGATGACGTGGCGCCCATATGGATAATGATTGGGCACCACGTCTCATTAAGGGGTCCACGTGGATTTTTTTTTTTTTCCCTTTCTTTCTTCTCTTCAGAGATGACGTGGATTTTTTTTTTCTCTCTTCTTCTTCTTCCTTTCTTCCTCCCCCAATCCTCCCTTCTTCACTGCAACTTGCACCCTCCCCTAGCTTTTTTTTTTTTTTTTCCTCTTTCTTTTTCTTTTCCTTCTTCCTTTCTTCCTCCCCCAACCCTCCCTTCCTTCTTCCCTACAACCCGCACCCTCCCCCAACTTTTTTTTTTCCTCTCTTCTTCTTCTTCTTCTTCTTCCTCCTTTCTTTCTCCCCCAACCCTCCTTTCCTTCCTTCTTCCCTGCAACCCGCACCCTCCCCCAGCTTTTTTTTTGTTTTCTTTTTTCCTCTCTCTCTTCTTCTTCTTTTTTCCTCCTTTCTTCCTCCCCCAACCCTCCATTCCTTCCTTCTTCCCTGCAACCCGCACCCTCTCCAAGCTTTTTTTTTTTTTTTTTCATTTCATCTCTCTTCTTCTTCATCTTCTTCCTCCTTTCTTCCTTCCCCAACCTTCCCTTCTTTCCTTCTTCCCTGCAACCCACACCCTCCCCCAGCTTTTTTTTTCTTTTCCTCTCTTCTTCTTCTTCTTCTTTTTCTTCTTCTTCATTTCTTCCTCCTCCCAACCCTCAATTCCTTTTTCCCTGCAGCCCGCACCCTCCCCCAGCTTTTTTTTTTATTCCTCTCTCTCTCTAATCTTCTTCTTCTTCTTCTTCTTCCTTTCTTCCTCCCCCAACCCTCCATTCCTTCTTCCCTGCAACCCGCACCTTCCCCCAGCTTTTTTTTTTTTTTCCTCTCTCTTCTTCTTCTTCTTCCTTTATTCCTCCCTCAACCCTCCCTTCTTTCTTCCCTGCAACCCACACCCTCACCCAGCTTTTTTTTTTCTCTCTTCTTCTTCTTCTTCTTCTTCCTCTCTTCCTCCCTCAACCCTTCCTTCCTTCTTCCCTGCAACCCCCACCCTTACCTAGCTTTTTTTTCTCTCTTTCTTCTTTTTCTTCATCCTTTCTTCCTCCCTCAACCCTCCATTTCTTCTTCCCTACAACCTATACCCTCCCCCAGCTTTTTTTTTTTCCTCTTTCTTCTTCCTTTCTTCCTCCCCCAACCCTCACTTTCTTCTTCCCTGTAACCCGCATATTCCCCCATCTTTTTTTTTCCTCTCTCTTATTCTTCTTCTTCTTCCTCATTTCTTCCTCCCCCAACCCTCCCTTCCTTCTTCCCAACAACCCGCACCCTCCCCCAACTTTTTTTTTCCTCTCTCTTCTTCTTCTTCCTTTCTTCCTCCCCTAACCCTCCCTTCCTTCTTCCCTGCAACCCGCACCCTCCCCCAACCTTCCTTCACCACCAATCTCCCCCAACCTTCCCCAACCTTCCTTTTTCCCTCTGTAATTTCTTCCCCATCCTTCTCTCTCTCTAAAATCACTACAAGCCTAACCTATATGGATATTTCTCCTCCTACCACAATTTTTTCCCCATTCCCCTCTTTAAAATCCCTCTATGCAACCTACAACCTGCAATCTGACATCTCCGTCGCGACGATGATAATGATCAGCCCGGGTTTTTTGGGTCCGAATCCACAACGTATCGATTAAAGAAGGTTTTTCCAGTTTATACATTGGGGATTTCGAAGAGGGGGTTGGGGAAAAAATTACAAAGGGAAGAAGGAAGGTGGGGGAAGGTTGGGGAGACTGGTGGTGAAGGAAGGCTGGGGGGAGGGTGCAGGTTGCAGGGAAGAAGGAAGGGAGGGTTGGGGGAGGAAGAAAGGAAAAAGAAGAAGAAGAAGAGAGTTGGAAAAAAAAAAATATCCACGTGGACCCCTTAATGACACGTGACGCCCAGTCATTGTCCACATGGACGCTATGTCATCATTTAACGGAAGATTTAACAGTTTGACTAACGGATGTATGAGACTGTCCCAAAATTAACACTTTAGGTATGACTCTAGGACGAAAAAAACTTGATGTACCAAATGTTGAAAACCACGAAACATGAGGGTAGTAAACAGAGTTTAACCCTACTATTAATGTAATATATTTCTAAACAATTATGAAATTTAGAACTCTCCAGTTTATGGGATATCTTTTTTTTTCTTTTTTATTTTATTGGAAATATGGAATATTATTTAAAACCCACAATTTGTGGGTTATAAAAATAAAATAAAATAAATCTCACCCATATATATAGTTCTCAATGTCAAAAAATGTACCACGACCTGAGTTAGGGTACATATCAAAATTTAAATTATGTGCACAAATAAAAGTTTGAAAATATGGGCACAAAAATTGAATATATGGGTACAAATTAAAACTAAAAATAATAAGTACAGTTAAAAAATGGTTGCAAGTTATGTAAAACAAAAAAAAAAAAAAAAAAAATTGGTTGCTAGTTAAAAAATAGGTACAAATGAAAAAAAATATTATATATATATAATACAAAATTTAAATTTGCTAACATGTGAATTTATAATTATTGAAATTATGATGTGGATAAAAACCAAAAGACCTTGATAAAAAATTAAAAAATAAAAAAAAAGATTTCAATTAATGAAATTAAAAAAAAAGATAGAAACCTAATTTCTTCTTTATTTGAAGACCACCTTTCATCTTAATTCATTATACTACCTGTTGCTATTTTTATCGAAAAACTAAATTTTATTCCCCCCTTCAAAAAATTTATTCTAATACATGTAAAAAAA